ATATATATATATATATATATATATATATATATATATATATATATATATATATATATATATATATATATATGAATATAATTTTTTTATTTAAAAAAATTAAAAAAGACTTCTACAGGCAATAAAAAAATTTAAAATTTTGTCCCAACGTTTCGCCGGTTTTTGTCCCAACGTTTCAACGTTTCGTCCCAAAATTTTTAATTTTTTTATTGCCTGTAGAAGTCTTTTTTAATTTTTTAAATAAAAAAATTATATTCATATATATATATATATATATATATATATATATATATATATATAATAATATATATATATATATATATATATATATATATATATATATATATATATATATATATATATATATATATATATATATATATATATATATATAATTATTGAACTCATTTCTAAGTTCAATCCTGTTTATCTGAAAATTCACAAGATAATTTTCCGTAAATTGACATGTTCGACAAGAAAGCAATTATATACAAATTGCAGGAGAGTTAGGCAATAGCTTTGATATAATTTGATAGAATTGATAGATTTGATAGATTTTTAACTCACCAAATAATTCCGCGAGTATATTGGCGCTGGCACAGTATAATGTGAAAACGAGATCAATCTATGTGCTTTGACCATCAATGGTGTGTTCGACCGTTTACAATTATTTATAATTCTGCAAAATATCCTGATATTTGTACGAACACAGAAAATCCATGCACAAGAACCCTTGGAGGGATGGCGAGATTCCTAAAATACCTCCGAATTGGAAAGTTTCGACTGCATTTACATTTTACAAACCTGACCAACTTTTCCGCGTCGAGGCTCCAGCACTACATTGACTACAAAGGACCTGAAAATAAAGCATCATTACTATTATCATTTATACATGTGCACTCATGGCGTTCAACATAACTTTTGCGTGCTATCACAAGTTTCTGGTGGTAAGAACAACTTAACAACAACGTCTCATTTGTCTTTCAGTAATTCTACTCACTCTAATATCAAGAGACTCGTGTTTGGCCGCGTTTGATCCATGCAAATTACATTTTGGCCAAAAAGATTGTTGGTCCTGGAACACGCAGAACTACTAAATAGGAAGCTCTGACGTGTTCCTTTTTCCCGAGTACGCGGATGAGGATACTAATTGCGCTCGGCTATTTACACCTAGGAAAACAAAAGGCAAGTCCATTAATTATCGCGGGCGAGTGGGTGTTGTAGGTTTCGCAATGAAGTTACATCTTTGCTTTCAAAAGTATGGCGAGGAGTCTCAAACAAGGAAGATTTAAGTTGCGTTTACACGCTGTGATTCCAATTCGTGAAGTGTACTGCAAAAAATGAAAGTGTAGGCTATAATAAAATTGTTTTTATTTTAGATTATTTTACTTGTTTTAAGAAATTACTTCTTGCCAAGAAAAAATGCAAGATAACATTTCTAGTTTAAAAAAAAATGTTCCTTAAAATTAGAAAATAAGTCTTGGTTTTTTCTTCATTCTTCAATTTCTAGAATTATATTCTTGCGGCATAGCATTATATTCTTGTAATAAGAAAATTAAAAAAAAAATTTTCCTAGTTGAAAAATCAATTAATGTCTAAATTGTATACAAATTATAAAAGCAAATAACTTTTTTTCACTTATACCTGTCTTTACAACTTTTTTTTACAACTTGACAACTTTTTATTAATTAAACTTATTATTAATACAAAAATAATTTACCCTGCAAGTAGCTACAGAGGTAATCGAGGCAGGGCAAGATAAATACAAAAATAATACAGTCATATAAGACAAAAGAAAAAAGTATTTATTATTACAGAAATTATTTACAAAGAGAACAATTACAAAAGCAATTTCAGACTTATTAAGGAAAAATGGAAAAAAATCTAGTTATTTACCTGTCGAGTGCTTTGTCTTGAATAAATTGGCAGTTTTAAAGCCATTGAATTAATTATCATGGAGATTTGAATGTAGTCATCTTCTTTTTCCAAAATATCAAAAAGTAATTGCCGAAGAGTCTTTTTAAATAGTTTCTTAGATAGAATCGTTATATGGTATGGTATTCCATTCCAAAGTTGTATCTCCAACCCAAAACTTTTCACATAGAACTTTTCCAACATACAAAATCGTGTATTTTGCGAATGAATACTGGACGATTTATCAAACAAGTTCAATATATTTAATGGTGCGTTATCGTTATTTATATTGTACATTAAACCAGACACAGTCTCACAATAAGAAAGGTAACTGTAAGGTCCGAAGATCAAGAAATAAGAGAATTGCATGATCGTCCCTTACAAAAAATCCACATGAATTCACACGTGTGATTTCATGTGAAATCGTGTGAAATTGTATTGTATTTGTATTTCAAAATCTTTACAGAGGATAAACATTTCAGTAATCTACTGTTATCAATATGTGTCCTCTATTTAACTAAATAGTCCATACTAAATAATCTATAATCTATATTAATAATATATATACTATAATTTAATCTTTGGTAATAATTTTCTAGCAGTTTTCGAAATATTTAGCTGTCCTTTTCAGCTCGAATATCGCAAGGCAAGTCATTATAAATTCTTGCCGCTGCAAAGCGAAAAGCATGTCTACCAAATTCAAGCTTTACTTTTGGTAGCTTTATCATATTATTTCTGTTTCTCGTATTATGACTATGGTTATTAATTTCAAAATAATTATATAAGTTACTGCAAATATCTTTTTCCAAGCATTTTCGTAAAACATCACACGGTTTCTTTCTTATCAATTTATCCAGATCAGGCAAGTATATTTCTTCACCAATAATTGCTCGTGCTCGGTTTTCAATGGACGTAAGCTTTCGTCGCTTCGTCTCAGTTAGAAATCATTTGACCATCCCGCTATACGTAATTATTGGTACAATCATCATTTGATATATCTTCGTCGCCACACTTGGTGTCACATAGTTACGGATCCTTGATAATAATCGTACTCGGTTACTAGCTTTTTTATAGGCTGCCTCAAAGTTTTCATTAAGTGTCAGACCAGGATCAAGTACGTAACCTAGATATTTGTAGGACTGTGTTGTATTTATAGGTTGGCCTCTATATTCAACTCTCAATTGATGAGGTTGTGCAGATAATCTTTTGCCAGTACCAAAAACCATCATTTCAGTTTCCCCTTTCTTTAGATTTATTAACAATTCATTTGCATCAAAATACTCATCAAAATACTCTGCAAGAATAAGACACTTGGCCTACAGTGCAATGGCGGTCGTTGTTGATCCTTGTGAAATACTCAACGTTTGCGCGAACGAAACTAACAACAAAACCTACGAGAATTTGTTAAAGTATAAAGAATACTTCCAAGTGCAACCTGACAAGAAAATTAAATGGCTAGGAAATTTTGACGAACTGAAATGTTTGATATTTGATTTGTTTGGTGCCGATGGGAAATGGAGTTCGCCGAGAGGCTCAGCAAAGGCATTTCGAAACGATAAAATAACCATTACATATTACACCAACAAGAAATCTTTGTTATTTCAAGGCCAAGAAGGTAACCGTTTGAAAGAGGTTATATTAAATCAATCAAGTAAGAGTTCTGACTTGTTTACGGACAGTATAGTTAGTCATGAATCTATCATTTGTGCTTCAAACAATGATAACCTGTTATATGCAAGTCAAACCGTGGCCAAAACAGCTAAAATATCTATGATTAGCGACAATACTAGATCTAAAAGCGAGGTAACAGAAACAACATCAGATTGCTCAACCCTTGAAGATCTACAAGACTTTATCGACTTTTCATATCAAAATATATTGCCGCTAAGTGATAATGCCAATTTATCTTCTACCCGAACCTTTGATTGTTCTACCCCGTCTCGCCCGAGTGTTGATGACAACTCGCCTGCTATAGAGAAACTTTTTGGCACTTCCTAAGAATAAATGAAAAAAGCGTTTCCTAAGCGTTTCCTAAGAATAAATCTAATAACGTTATTAAAAACGCTGAAACCAATGATGTTATTAGTAGCACCCTATCATATTACCTGCCCTCAACTGTCTCAAACGAAGCCCCTAGCGCAACTAATGGTTCTACTATCAGCTCCCTAGTAAGTAACCACCAAGTATGTGTCCCCAGGGAGGGCTCTAGTGAAACTGCCGTATTTTGCAGTCCCTCTTTAAATAATCAACCGGCGGTTGTCTGCGACAAGGGAAACAATTCAAAACGTAAGCCCTTACCAGCTAAAGAATACATGCCTCCCAAAGCTAATGAAAACATTGAGCCATCGAACCATCGATTGACCAGGTCCAGTAAAGTTATTCCCCCTACCCATAAAGAATCCCAACCTATTCCAACTAGGATTACGTACCGTGTCCCATCAAACGCTAAAATGAAAACCATCCGAGGAAATAGTAAATACCGGAAGAACCAACAGGTACATAATGGCAACTATACCGATAAATATAATAGAAGACCCGCTTCTATGCAGACTGCGAGAAACCAAGCAAATGAGAAACATATTTATCCGCGCCCTTTTTAACAAGCCCCCCGGTTTCATTATTCATGGACAAAACCTGGGAATTTTATGAAGGAGTGGCAAGCATATCTAAACTTTGTTCGCATGACAGTGACAAATCCACCCAAGTTACCCCGCCATCCTTCATTTCCTTTACAACGAATAGAAACATTGGTTTAGCGCAAATCTGTGCAAAAACCAATAACCATGAAAATGATTATGCAATACAACAACCGATACCAACCATTGCGCAACCGAGAAAAAAGAAATATCCTGTTACATCACGTGTTCCCAATTACAAGGCATTAATTCCAATTAATTTAACATCCACAAGAAAAGTTCCTTCGAGAGAGTCGGGATTTGCTGTTCCTAAGTTTATGTTTATCAACATATGTAGTCTGGCAAAAACAAAAAATCGAGTACGAGCTGTAGTTGCACTGGAGGCAGACTTGGTCAATAACGATATAGATGTATGTGTGGTGAGCGAGAGTCACCTGAAACCTGAAATGCCAGATGCTGTGGTGACCATTCACAATTATTCAATATTTATAAGAGATAGAAGTTGGGAAGGACGCGATATGAGAGCAAAAGGAGGGGTAGCAATATATGTTCGGAACAACTTAAAAGTTATTGATATTTATCGATCCAGTTTGTACGAACTTATTGGTGTCACACTTCTGTTACCTACAGGAAACCGCATGTCGATATATGGCCTTTATCACCCACCTAGGCACAATTATCTGGAGAGCGACTTATTGGATTATTTGATAAATATTTCTGACGACGTTCTGGACAAATATCCAGACACTGTAATTGTTTGTGGAGGGGATTTGAACAGTTTGGACATAAAACACCTTGAGGAACTATCAGGATGGGATACAATGGTCGACTTTTCAACAAGGGGTAACGCATGTTTGGATAACTGCCTTACAAATAGAATAGATTTGTTCTCAAAATGTTATCCTTTCCACATGTTAACTAAAACAGACCACATGGGGGTTATTTTACCAGCAGGAACGAAACTAAAACCTATGCGCCGAAAGGTTGAATTTCAGGATTGTAGAAAGCATCGAAAGGAAGATTTCCACAAAGCTTTAGCAGAAGAAGATTGGGAGGATGTATCGCAGTCCACGAATGTAAATGACGCTGTGAATTGTCTTGAACGTAAGATCATGGATCATATGAATAAATGTATGCCCACAAAAACAGTCTCAATTTCGTCACGTGACCCTTACTGGATGAGTCCTTTAATTAAATCTTTGCTAAAATCTAAATCCAGAATTGCTCGGTCGCAAAAGGATAGACTCAGTTTAATTAAAGTGCCACTAACCCCCTAAATTTTCTTTTCATAAAATCAATAACCGCTATTTATGGAGTACAAAAATGAAAAAATTGTTTTAATCGGTTGAATTCTCGCTATTCTATGGCTTCTCAAAGTTTGAAAAATTGCCCTAAAATCGACGCCATTTTGTCCCACGAGCGAGCGCCGATGATATGGGCTTGTGACGTCAATTGGTGAACCGGCTGTTGTGTCAACACAAGTGTTTACAGTGCTAGGCGAGTTTGTTAGGCATGCGAACGGCGAGAAAATGCCGAAAAGATGCGTTGTTGCCGGTTGTAACAACATAGGAGATAAGGAAAAAGAAATATCGTTGCATGCAATTTCTTATTCGGGGGACGAACGGCCCGAAGCGAAAAAAAACGAAAGAAATGGACGGACTTCGTACTATTAAGCCTCAAACGTGCAAAATGGACGCCGACGTCGTATTCAGTCATATGCTATCAGCATTTCAAGCCCGAGGATTTTTTGCGACGGTTTTCCCATGTCGAAGGTGAAAGCTTCGTTGGCAACAGATGGCTCAAAAGGGACGAGATCGTAATTTGTGTATTCCCAACAATCATGCCATCAGCTGACGCACAGAAAGTTTCAGACAGATACAAGAGAATGGTATGCTAATTTTGTATTTTATACATAATTGTGCGCAACTTGAATTTGTTTTACTAAACTGATTTAATTAATAAACATATCATTATATAACATGCTAACACTTAAACTGATAAACAGTAATTGGGTAAAGCATATAAGAAAGACAATTTCGTTTAGTCTGTGAGAGCTTTCTTTGTCATTACAGTAATTCTGTCTTCAGACTTCAGCCTTGCAGATTTTTGTAATTTCCGTGTGCAATTTGATACAGTATTATACAGTGATATAATTCTCCATCTATGTCTCTTGCTATGCCTATGTTTTAGTAAAGTCAATATGCCCACTATGACCCATAGGGGTGTATTTTAAGGATGTCTGAGGAGGGTATCATATTTGACTGTCAAAATAATTATAGTGAAATATTGATCAATGCATACCATGTACCCATGTATATATATATATTCCATGTTTGATTTGTACAGATTATGTCGAAGAAATATTTCAAACTTTTCTCAATGTTACCAAAGATGATCTTAAAAAAGCAGCCAAGCAACTCAAAGAGTACGGTGTCTTTGCAAAGTGTTGCCCACTGCCTGTGGCCCACAGATAAGTTACCCAGTATGCTTGCTGTTAATATAAATCTTTTTGTTACTGTAGTTTCACTACTACGTTGTTGAACAGAGCCAAAAGAAGTCTAAAGCAGCACCAAAATGCAGGGCATGTGAACAACCCATGAAAGGACACAAGTTTGTTACAGACTGTCCAAGGAATGAAAGGAGCACATCATAGTGTATTATATGGATAAGGCATTTGAGGAGGGAGGGCATATTGGGAGGTGTTTTTTTTTTCAGAAGGGCATATTAGGATTATTCAGGATTTTGGGGATTTATAATAGAGATTGGGGCTTATATTACAGCAGGAAGGGTCTTAACAGAGGGGAAATATTTGGAAGGGTGGTGCTTATTAGGGATGGAGCTTACTAGGGAGGGTGGTGCTTATTAGGAGAGGACTCAATAGAGTGGGTACTTTATAAGGAGGGTAGTGCTTATTAGGGGGGGGCTAATAGAGAGGGTGTTTATTGGGAGGGTGGTGATTATTGTGGAAGGGGCTTAATAGGGAGGGGGCTTAATAGGGAGGGGGTGCTTTATAGGCAGGGTGGTGATATTTGTTAAATAAATTATATTATGCACTACTTGTATCAAGTTTGCTCTACTTTACTTGTTTTCTATCCCTGATGAACACTAGTCAAAACTGATTTATGTTGATACCAAATATGTTCCATATAGGTTTCATTAGAGTATAATATTTAAACAGTACAGTAAAACCCTGCTTTACAAAAGAACCAGTTCAGACTAGAATTCCAAAACAGCTTCTTATTTTATCGAAGAAACAAAAAATTAAACATCAATTAAAGAAAATAAGCTCTTTATAAAGTAATGGAAACACTGTTATTTTGTAAACATCTACGGTAGGTTCTTATATGATGGGTTTTACTGTATGTTAGCTTAGTCATTAATTTATTCAAATATTTTATCCTCCTCCATTTCAAATCTGGTAAATGATTCATCTTTTGTGAGAGGGAATGTCTTCCTTATTGCATGGTATGCACATGCAGCAGTGGGATTCTTGTTTTTCCAATTACACCATACACCATCCTTGTAAACTTTCTGTATGCCACACTATGTAAAAACCTAGAAGAAATGAACAACTTTATCATAAGTAATCATATGTAGACAAATGCAAAAACTATTTCAATAAACTAGTATTTTATATTACAAAGAACAACCCAAACTATAATAGCTATATATAGAAACTATACATACATATAGTTCCTGATTTTGGTTACACCAACATTCATTTTTGAGATGTTGATGCTTATTGGAGACACTGGTCACGGAACAGTGTGTACCCCCATAAATATATCCCTGAAAGAGGATAAAGATCTATATGTTGAACAGTCTGTTTAGTCTTTACATTTTTACACAAATTTTGGAAACAATAGACCTTACCATTTATTCACTAGTGACCAAATGGCCTCGTTTCCATGTTTGCCTATTTTAGCATGGCAGGCACACATGAAAGTTAAATATTCATGTTTCCTGCACAAGTTTGTCTCTCATTGATCTTAAGTCCAATCACAAGCTTATTCTTTACTCTCTTATGCACAAAACATGAGTTTTAATATCACATGAAAACGAGGCATTGGGTCAAAAGTAAATAAACGGTAAGGTCTATTGAGTTTCAATATATAGGTAACTCTCCCATTAATGTTTAGTAACATTGTCTGGTTGTTTAGACAGAGTAAGATAAATATGAGCACACTATTGAGACACAGTGCAGCTTCCAACATTCCTCTCAATGGTCTATCATTATCTAAGTGAAATATGAAACAAATGGTGTTCTGTAATTTTACTCTGCCTGATACTGCTGATTAGGGAAAGTCCATGAACATATAGTTCCGCATGTTCCTTTGTCAAATAAAATTGCCTGGTGTTAGAGAGATTTGTAGGTAGGGTGCATAGCAGCTTATTATTAAATGGTTAAGTAGCAACATTCCAGCTCACAACAGCAATATATTTGCATTCTTGCCAATTACTCAAAAACTCCAGGCTACAATTTTCACATTTGCACCTAATATAAATTATGTAATATTGACAACATGAGTGGCCTTGCCATG